TTTTTTTACGATCCCGAGATTTTCGGAGTTAGTCCCGGGATTTAGATGTTCGTTACTCGGGAGCGGAGCATGAAATACCCGGCGAAAGTATTAATATATGATTTTCACCTCTCCGAAAGCTACCGCTCAATTTTAGTCCGATTTCGATAATTTCAACGTTTTGCTTTTATGGGGCAAGCACAATAACCGTACCGAGTTTTGTACAAATTGGTAGAACGGTTACGGAGATACATATATGTGTCATAAGTAGGCGGTGCCACGCCTATTTTCCAAAATTTTATCATAAACGCATTTCTTGGCAAGGAATTGTTGCAAGCATCAATTTTGAACAAAATTAGCTTCAATAGCACTAAATAAAGACAAAAACCGAAAAATAATCAAAAGCTACCTTTATTTTAGAAATGTTTATTTTACAAGTAAAATAAAAAGAGAAAAACTATGAACTAGTTTCATTAAATATATGAATAATTTAAACTCTGAATCTTTGACTATTTTCTCTTTTCTAGTTTTTGACTTACAAAACTTTAATCTCTATAATTATATGTAGTAACATTGACCCATAAGTTGCATTTTGATTTTGTTTGGCAGCATTTGTATTCGATTTTCGCGAAGAAAAGTCTTGAATGTACTAAACGTTCGCTGACGTGAGTTCATACAAGTGGCCCTCAATTTGCCTGACTATTTCTGTGTAGTACCAACAGGGCAGGGGATGGGCCCCAAATTAATACCCAGCAATCTTTTTACATTACTCGCCTTTTTCAATCTGTCCTCCTCATTGCACTTCCACAGCAGTTTTCAGTCAGAGATTACCCAAGGTACTTGGTTTAGAGAGTTTTTCCGAAGAACCTTGTACTTTCTTGTAAAAAGTAACATATATGTTTTATCTGCATTAATCCCTAATCCTGCATGAGTAGTTCATTGGTTTATAGTACTGAGGGCTCCATTCATTTATTATGTACAACTAGTTTGGGTGCTTTCCCTTCAACATTTGTTTAGTAGTCATAGAGCGGTTAGCATACCCCTCTCTGTGGTGTGCTCTTTATACCTGCTTAGTTAGCCTGGCTTCACTCCATTCAGCTCTAATTCTCCCACAACTTAAATGGGTTTTTATCCATAGAGGAATAGCAGATTCCACGTTGTTTTCTTGTAAACTACTCAGAATAGCTCATCTTGATACATTTTTAAAAGCTCCACCAATGACTAAGAACACACCTAGAGCATAAACCTTGTGTTCGAGCGGGGGCTCGAGATTTTTATGTCCGGAGCCCGAGTTTGCTATCGACAGACCCGCATGCAATATACAGGCTCTGTCGATCATTATGCTGTCTCTTATGTGTATATCTAGGATTTTCTCCAGCGTTTTCCGGAGGAATGGAGTTAAACTGATGGGTCTGTGCTCTTTTGAGTAAAGACGGTTGGCTTTACTTGCTTTAGGTAAGAACACTATTCTCGAATCTCTCCAGTATAGAGGCACATAGTCCAACCTCAGACAAACTTGTTTTTTGATACGGTTTTATATAAACATCGAATTTAAAAACAATCTGACAACTGTAATTTTATGGAACCTTTAGTTATTGAATCATGGTGCGAATGGACATAAAAGCTGTCTCAACTCGTCGTCATTCAGGCCAATTTGGCATTTTCAGAACAACATTGCTGATAATTTTAAAGTTTATATTACATGAATTATAGTAACTACCTGTGTTTGCATTTACGTACATAGATTTACAATTATTTTACATTTCAAATTCCTCATAGTTTGGTTTACTTTACCATCTTCCTTCTCTTTTTTATTCAATATCAATGAATTTAAATTTTAACGGTACATTTGGCATATTAATCAGCATTCCCTTAAATATGTTATCTGTCGGATAATTGAACTCTATGTGAAAATTTCTAACCAATCTCGCAATACCCAATTCCATTTCCAAATCGCCTAATCTGTGACCCACACAAGCTCTCGGTCCGACACTGAATGGCAAATAGATGAACGGATTACTTGGTTTAAGTGCTTGTGTATAATCGGCTGCTTCCTCATTCGACTGCTCATCTTCTTTATTCATACGAAGCCAACGTTCCGGTATGTATTCTAAGGGCCGTGGAAAGTGTTCCTCACTATGTAATGCAGTTGACGAGATCATGGTTACTACAGTACCCTTTGGCACTCTAAATCCGCTCAAGAGGACATCATTATGTAGCACACGTATATTTCCAATAGCCAAAGGATAGATTCGCAATGCCTCCTTCAGGCAGGCGCGTAGATAGGGTATGTTGTCCAGCGCATCAATCGTGAAGTCACCATCTTTTCGCGGTAGCACACGTAATATTTCCTGTCGTAGTTTTTCCTGCTTTTCAGGATTCTTGGCTAGACATACCAGCGCACCGACTGCCACTGAAGCTGTCTAGAAGAAAGTGAATATTTGTTATTTTCTTAAGGTATTTAGCTTCTAGTGGAAAACTACCGTATCAACGCCTGCCATAAGTAGATCCATAGCCATGACTGTGGCTACCTTCTTGTCTATCTTCAGCAGTTTCTCCAACACACTTTGCTCTCGTTCTTTACGTTCGATGCCTTGCCGTTTTTCGGCCTCCAGTTTTTCGATGACCTCCGTTGTATATTTCCATGTTATATTTTGTATATCATCCATAGCTCGCATGAGACGTCTAAATTTGGGTGTGCTCACAATGCGCCACAGTGATGGTTTGTACTCCAAATCGAAGGTGAGTGTGAAGAAGTCCGTCAGAGCTGAAAATAGTTTTAAGGCAATTTCAGAATTTGCGCTATTTTCTCGCAACAATCCAAGTTGCTTGTCCAATGCCACTACGGATACCGACTCCAGCGTCCAACGTTGTAGAGTTTCTTCGAAGTCGTCTGGCATTTCTAAGGTTTCGGGATTGCGTACTAAGCGAATTCTGCAATGATTCAATTTAGATTAAATTTGGCGTTGGTGTCCAGATTGCCAAATAAAGCTGGGAGTATGAATAGCAAGCTTACCTCTCAACAAGTTCTTGGTTTACCTGCGCCATTTTGTTGAGATAATTTTTCATATGTTTCGATTGCATAAGCAGCGGGTTTACAATCGAACGAAACGAGCCCCACTGTTCACCTTGGCTATGGTGAAAAAAAACATTAAATTAATTAATTTAAGTATATCGTTACCTTAATACAGAAAGGCCATAGCTCATATAGCATATTGCCTTAAATCATGTCCGGACTTTTAATTCGATGAAATGAATCATAATAAATCAAAAAGAGAATTTTGGATTTTTACTTAGTTACGGCCTTTCGCATTTCAGCTACGATGTTCTATATTAAGGTAACGATATGTACGTTCATTAAACTATACGAGTATACGGTCATACATACGTCGCTATCGTTCCTTCGATGCCATTATAGAATTCAGCTCGCAGCACATTTCGATGATATCGCAATGTTGATGAGTTTGGTCTTATTGGCCATCTACCTTCATTGCGATAGATGCATTCAAAATCTTCTGGATTGTGTGTAACGACGGCATCAGGTCGACCCATCATTCCTGGTAATATATAAATATCGCCATGTTCCTTTTGCATTGACTTAACAATTTGGGCAGAGTCCAAATTGTAATATCGGCCACCAGGTAAAAATTTACGCAGAAAATTGAAAACGCCATCTTTAGGCAACTCGCAGTATGGCTGCGCTTGCTGCCATTCCACGGTCATATCCAGTTGTTGATCAACATTTGTGAACGAGCTGGTAGTACTGGTAGGACCGGCAGCGCTTGTGTGCTGTTTATTTATAAAATCACTGGTGTTATTATACTCATATGCATATCTACTAATATGTGTACAAACGTATGAACACTTATTTATATTTAACTTTTAGGTTCATTCACCCATTCAAATAGCGCTTACTGCAGTTTTATGTCGCCAGTTTTATTTACCTTCTTTATTATCGCCCAATATCTTGCAGTTTCAACATTTTTTGTGATGCTGCTTTTGCTGATCGCTTTTATGCTAAGTTTGTGAGAAAGCATTTTTGAAGAAAAGTTTGTGGAACTGCACCCGATAAGTGCTCCAGCTTAAATGAATGCATATCGCGGCACTCGGTGCGATAACATTGTTTGCAAAGCGTTAATCGTAATTTTTTTCTTGTTAAAAATCAACTTAACGCTCTTACTTGCAGTAAGGCAGAAATGTCGGCTACGTACACGAAGGTTCTCTGCATGCAATATCCACATCTATATATATTTCTGTTATTTTTGCTTTTGTTGGCGGCACTCAGGCAACACGCCGCCCATTCTACTGTTTCCACCCCCCTTTTAAACTGTTTTAATTCTACTTGCTTTCCGAATAAATCGAAGCAGATTGTTGGGTTAAAAGGAGCTCAGTTGTTCGTCTTTCAACATATCGTTTCCACAAATCGCGTACCTAATTCTTGCAAAGGCTCTGTAGGAGAGAAGAGTGTTCCGCCGTTTCATCCTCTTCAAGGCAGGAAGGACGATTGGGGTTGTTCTGTATGCCGATCACAGTTAGATGTTTGCACCACGTAAAGCCAGCCAGTTCCACAAGTTGCCTGCAGTCCAATATGTTCAATGAAAACAAATACCTAGCACAACCCGCAACGATGAGGGTAAACATGAGTTTCGCCAACCTGCATCCGCTCGAAGCCTCCGCCACCCAGTCTTTGCCGAGCGAGGTATTTACCCAGTTTCTGGCGGTGGCATCGACGGCCGAAGGTGGGAGTGCTATGGCTGGATACGAACCGAGGAATACCTGGTCTTAACCCTCTCAGGCCAAACGGTCAGATACCTCATTACCAGGTTATCCCGAGTGACTTGGCACCCAGAGTAAGGCAAGCTCGTTATGATTACCAACATAATTTTGCCGAGACTAGAATTACCGGAACAGTGTGGAGTAGTAGTTAGAGAGCTGACAATGACTTGAGTGCAGCTTGGATGCCACTATACGCACGTAAATTCCTGCAGCTCCAGCTATTTTCTACCACGTGACCGTGGCCTTGAGGATTGTAAATAGCTCGACTTGGAATATCGAGACATATTTCTCAAGTGAAAAGTGAAGTTCACCCACTTTTCCTTCCATATAGACACCAGATCCGTGCCCAATGTAGTACACTCGAGCCATCAGTAGTACACTCGATAGCTTGTGAGCCCGAGCTCAGTATTCGAATTAAGCCAGCATAACCAAACGTGTAGGATCTCCTTAGTAAAAGCAATGATGGCGTACTATTCTGGGGCATTGAAATTACACTTGTTTCTAGATCTCTGCCATCAGCAATCTCCGCCTCGCTCCATACAGTCCAGTATCAACATTCTCTTATTTTAAGCCAACAGGTGACCTTTAAGGCCTTGCCATCTATGAAGGTGCAAAGTAAATATCGATAACATTACGATAACTCGATAATCTTAGATTTCATTAACTTGGCAAATTTTTATAACTCAATAACTGTCGAAAAATTTCGATAACTGGGTTTCTGTATTTCGATGACTTGATAACTTTCGATAGCTAAATTTTTGATGACTGTAGATCTTCCGATTCTTATTGAAAAGTTTCAATTGAATTTCTTACCTTTTCAATTAACTCAATTCTTAAGTACAAGAATATGTATGTATTTTTCATTATTTTATTTTCGTCTTTATCTTTAGTTTTGCCTTAACTTTCTTACCTTTATCGTTTTTATACCCGAGCGCAATTATGCTATTAAAAATGGACGAAATCGGATTATAACCACGCCCTCTTCTCACATAACGGTATTTTTGAAAAATGCAAAAACTGCGATATTCCTGTAAATATTGGATTTAAATTGTTTAAAATCAGTATGTTAAGTAGAATTTTGATGCAAAATAATATAATGAAATTTTTGGAAAAAGCCGTGACCCGCCCACTTACGATGAAATACTGTGTCTTAGTAGCCCCTTCACCAATTCTTACTAAACTCGGTACGGGCCTTGTTTCTGATCCAGCTAAGAAATTTGTTGAAAATCTTTGAAATCAGGCAATCACTATGCCCACCTCTTCTATAACGGTAGTTTACAAAACGCGAAAAGTGCGAAAAATCAGTAACTACTGAAGCTAATTGACTCAAAATCGATTATTGCAATGACCACTGAGCAGAAATTTAGATTATATATTTTTGGATTTATGACTAAAAATGTTTATCTCGTTAACCGATATATTTCGACCAACATCGGTGCATTTAATAACCTTGTTACGAAAAAGCAATTCGTTGAAAGTTATTCAAATCGGACTAAAATTGCACCGGCTTCCAGTATAACGGTAATTTTCGGATATACGAAAACTCTCCAAACTTACTCCAAGTTAATACTTACAACAATAAATAAGACTGTTATAGACTTTTAGGTAGTTTAAAGAAAGTTGGAACGACCTGATACCTGCGCCGGGTATATAAAATTCAATTTCGCCCGAACTTATACTTCTTCACTTATTTAAGTTAAAAAATTAGAAAAGTTCGTCATACTTTTCACTTTTTTGAAACGAGTTTGCTAAACACTTTTGAATATGCAGTTTTTTAGCCCATGCTATTTTTAGTATAATAATGTGCAAGTTTAAAGACTCCAGAGCCTAGACTGCTTAAGGTCTTTCCCCGTTTTAACATATCGTTACCTTAATATTGAGAGGCCCTATTTCACATCGTCGCTGAAATGCAAAAAAAAGCTGTTATTTCATAAAAAAAATGTGCATATACATATATAAAAAAAAGACTATCAGCAAACCAAAATTTTTGAATATCAAAGCGGTTTTCAAACCAAAAGTTTATGCGTTATAAAACGGCATACTCAGAAGTGTTTTTCGAAATTCATAACCAAAAATTGAAAGATTTAATGAAAATTTGAGGAATTGTTCTCATTTTTTTCTTGGGTTTAAAACTTTGATCAAATAAAGTTAATTTAGCTATAGCATGGACAATATTTTAATCAAAAATCAACGAAAAAATTTTAATATGCAAAACTCAATATTAAAAAAATAACCATTTTGACATTTTTGCTCCCCACTGTAGGTTAAAAAAATAAAAAATAAAAAATAGCTGACGAACCCGATTTTTGTCTGCTGCTTTTCTTTCAAATTAATAAATTAATTTATTTATTTACTTGTTACTATTCAATATCAGTGAACTTAAATTTCAACGGAATGTTTGGCAAATTAACAAATAAACTCTTAAAAGCATTTGCCGTAGGGTAATTAAATTCAATTTTAAAATTTCTAACTATTCTAGCAATACCCAATTCCATTTCCAGTTCGCTTATTCTGCGTCCCAGACAAATTCTTGGACCGAAACCGAACGGCAAAAATATGAACGGATTGTTTGGTTTTAATGTTTGCACACACTCAGTTGCACTGTTCGCGCTATTCTCGTCCCCTCCTTTAGCCGATCGCAGCCAACGTTCTGGCAAAAATTCCAACGGATGGGGAAAATACTTTTCATTAGCCATTAGAGTAGTGGCAACCATATTCACCAAAGTACCTTTCGGCACTCTATAACCGCTCAAGACAAGATCGTTTTGTGTTACACGCACAATTCCGACAGATAATGGATATACACGCATTGATTCCTTAATGCAAGCGCGCATATAGGATACGTTGTTTAGTGCATCGGCAGTGAAATCACCGTCCTTTTGTGGCAGTATTTGCATAACTTCTTCACGCACTCTTTGCTGCTTCTGTGGGTCCTTAGCTAAGCAAAGTAATATGGCTGTAACTGCTGATGTAGTCTGTTAAAGTGTTACGAGAAGTGGTTTTGTTTTTAGTAGATACAAAAAAAAAACGCTTAGTCTGAACATAGTATTATATTTACGGTATTAACGCCACCAAGCAGTAAATCCGTGGCCATCACAGTCGCTACTTTTCGATCGATCTTTAGTAACTTCTCGAAAGCACTCTTTTCATGCTCTGGCCGCTCGAAACCTTGCTGCTTTTCGGCTTCCAGTTTTTCTATTGCTTTATCTATATATTTCAACGATATATTTTGTACATCGTCCATAGCCTGCATTACACGCTTGAATTTCGGTGTGCTCATTCGTCGCCACAGTGAAGGTTTCCACTCCAAATCATAGCCAAGTGTGAATATTGTATTTAAGGCAGATATCATTTTCATACCATCTGCGTGATTTTCATTATGTTCTCGAAGCAATCCAAGGTTATTGTCCAGAGCAACTAGCGATACAGATTCCAACAACCAACGCTGTATATAGTCCTCAAAGTTTGCTGGCACTTCCAGGGTATTGGGATCGCGTATCAGACGTATTCTGCAAAGATTAGAACTTACTACTGTTAAGCAGTGTGAACAGGACATGATTTACCTGTCAACGAATTCCTGGCTTACTTGTGCCATTCTGCTAAGATATAGGAGTATACTTTTTGATTGCATTAGCAGTGGATTTACTGCCGAGCGGAATGAGCTCCACTGTTCACCTTGTCTGCGGGAAAGAAAAGATACATAAGCTTTGCTATTGAGACTCAATTAAGACTACTAACGTAGTTAAAACGCCTTCGACACCCTGGTAAAAATCCGCATGCCGTTTTCTCCGATGATAGCGTAGGGTTGAAAATGGGCGTATGGGCCATATGCCTTCGTTGCGAAAGACAGATGCAAAATCATTTGGATTGTGTGTTACCAAGGTGGCAGGCCGACCCAACACTGCGGGTACTACGAAAATATCACCAAACTCCTTGCGCATTGCCATCTCCAATTGGTTGGAGTCTAAATTATAGTATCGACCGCCGGGCAAAAATTTACAGATCAGTTTGAAGGCATTGTCTGTAGGTAATTCATTGAAAGGGCGCGCCTGCTTCCAATCCAAAGATGCACCGGAATGCTGACACAAATTTGTAGATGAATTTTCAGAGGTGGTAGAGCCGATTTGCTGAAAAAAAAAATATATATAATTTTTAAAACATCGCTATTTACATGATATTCACTAGGGTGTTCGATTATTCGCTTTTTTCAAAGGCCTGTTTAAGAATAATTTGAAAAAAAAACGGTTCTACATTTTCAAATTGCAAAAAAAATCTGGATAAACCGGTTTTGTTTTAAGGGTCTTCACCTAAAGTGATAAAAGGATAATTTGCTTAAATTATAATTAATTATAAAAAAGTAGTAAATCCGCATGGCGTTAAAACGCCCGAATTCGAATTTTAAAAACTTTAAAAATATTTCTAATGTTTCTATTTTCATCGAATTTCAAATCACCTTATACCGATGAAAAAAGTTCTTATGTAATTAAAAAAATAAAACTTTAACATATATCTACAGGCTAAGGTCCCTAATTTTACCCCTAATGTGTTTAAATTCCTTTTCAAAAGTATGCTCAAACTAATATCTTCTTAAATCTCTTCGTCTGACATGGTTATACACATGTGTTTCAATAAACTAATGAACTAATTCGAATTTGATTGTTCGAAGAAATGGCAACCCTCCTAAATAAAGGTCCCTTTCCTAATAAATCCCTTTCAAACAAATTTCGATTTAAACCCATCTTTTAATAATTCATCCAACTTACTGAATAATTTGAATGCAACTTTTTAAACACGTGACCACTCTCTTCAAAAATTCAAAATGTTCAAATTCAAGATTTCTTAACATTTTTTCGTTTGACTACGGTATTTTTATATTGCATATGGTTTTGAATTAGTTAATTGAGTTAGACTTTTCAAACAGCTGGCAGCCCTCTAAAAAGTATTTTCAAGCTTAATCATTGTCAACCCACCTTCACCAGACACTGTGATACTTATTTGAATGAAACGATGAATACAGTGGAGTTTTAATTTTCAAACATGTGGCAACCCCGCTAAATACAGTTCAGAAATAAAAATTTTTCAAACCGCCCTTCGATTGATGCCCACATTTTAGTAATTCACTTAACTTATAAAATAATTTGAATTCAACTTTTAACAGGTGGCAACACTCTTCCAACACCTCAAAAATATTCTTAGCGTTCAAACTAAATATTTCTTAACATCCCTTCGTTTGATATCCATATTTTCATATTTCGTATAACTTGTTTATAAGTAAACTAAACTCGATATTTAAAGCAGGTGGCAACCCTCTTCAAAATATTTTAAACTTACTACTTTCTGAAACCCCTTTCGTTTGGCACCCATATGGTGATACATGTTTCCCTTACCTAATATGATTTTTAAACAGGTGACAACCCTCCTATATTTCAGCTAAGAAACAAAGCTTTTTAAACCCATTTCGTCTGATACCCACTTTGTAATCATTGACTTATTTTTTTATAGGTTAAATATAATTTTTTAAAAGGTGGCAACTTTTTTCAACAAAGTAAAACCTTATTGCACATCTACAGTGCAAGGCTTTTAGTTTGACGCCTCATTTTGGAAAATCGAACGAACGGTGCGGATTTTATAGCATTGATTCTTAAATAATAACTAAACTAAAACCAGTTTGCACATCCTCAGCCTAAACGCTTTAAGTTGGTATCTTATTTTTGAAAATCGGGCGAACGGTATAGATCTTTTAAGCGGAACAAAAAATCATTTCGCGTATTATATATATAGATACGGATTCTCTAAATACCTTAACTCCAGCGGGCATTGCAATGTAATGAACAATTTTTATGAATTTTCCATTTTTAAAACACCAATGGTAGCCAATAACAAATGATGATGTTTCTGATTGCACGTTTTGAATTTGATCGAAATCGGCTCATAAATACGACTTTTATAAATAACTCGATCCCAGCGCCATCTAGCGAGTTTCTGGTAGCCTTTAATAGCCTTTTAGAATTAGAATCATAAGGGTCTATATTACATTTTTTGAAAATATAAGTTATACCCATATACTATAGTTAAAAATAGTTGAGGGGTTCACAACGGTGTCGTAAGTGTCGTATTGTTGTATGTCGTAAACTTTAAAAGCTTAAATAAATGTCTAGAGAACCTGAAACCACAATCAACTATTTTTGAACACTGCGAAAATTCTCAATATGATTTTGATGGTACTTTGCGAACCCCCGTAATATATTTTTTAGGTGCTTAAAGTTTACGACATACAACTATACGACACTTACGACACCGTTGTGAATACCCCAAGTGTTTATTTGGTGGCAAAGAGTAAACATTCTTTGAATTAGTTAATTAACCTGCATTCATTTAGGCAAGAATCATTTCAAATGCATTTACCCAGAATTTACAATAAGTAAACAACTGTAACCTTTTATCTCAAAAATATGCAGATCTACTTAGATCCTTTTGATTCTAACCCCTTCATATGTATGCAGGATATATGTAATCTCTGAAAATTTGACTGAAATCTATTCAGTAGTTTTTGAGTTAAGCCCGAACAACGAAAGCGGCAATTATTTTATATATGAGTCCAGTTTTTACAAGTGGGCTACCCAAAGTTCACTTTTCGATTTTTATTTGTTTGCAAACAACTCGTAAAAAAAAAATTGGAGCAAAGTCTTTGGTGTTAATAATGCACACCATGTTAACTTTCAAAACCGGTTAATAAAATATATACATATAGGCTAAACATCGCTATCGATGTTTTCAACTCCCTGTTATATTATTTATAAAGTAGATAATGATGTTAACCTGCAGTTAATGTTAATCAGACAACGTTATCCAGAGATGGTGAGAACGGCGCTTAAAGTACATATTTTGCAAAGGTCGTATAAATTTAAACGTACAAAGGGCAACACTCGTAAACAAAAAAAAAAAAACCATTTCATTTGTGTCTCTCAGCTTTATTTTTCACCTTTGTTGACAACGATCGTTTTGGTATCACCTGAAAGCTCTTTGTGAGGCAGCGTTTACCGATCGCGACACATTTTATTTTTACATAAAACATTTTTTTATAATTTGAGTTTCGAGTACCTAACGCGCTCGTTGCTGCAATTCAACTGAATACTCGTTTTTTGCATACAAATTGATAAGACCTCATAAAAGCGTTTGTATGTATGTACATACGAATATGGGCATTTCCATGGGTTACGAACGTGACAGCGAAGTAAAGTCGAAAGGGAAAAGATATTGGGAATATTTAGATAATTTTTTCAGATTTTTAGACCTCACGTCAGTAGCTTTCTAAAGCTGCGATATATCGAAAATTTGGTCTTGGTAAGTATATTGCCATTCAAAAGAGTTATAAACGTTAAAAAAATATAAGTTATTTGTATAAGTGTTATAGGAAAATAAAAATCTGTGTAGTGAGATAGAACTTTTTATTGAAACTTCTTTCAAAGTAATTTCAAATAACGTAACTTTATGTCTGCAGTACCTATTAAAAATATATATATATATATATGTTATAAAATTTTATTCCTAGAAGCTATAAACTGGCACGTAAGGTGACAATTTCGTCCACAATAATGTATCCAGAAAGCGCACATATGAATTTCCTTAAATTTACATTGTACAGGGGTTTCCGTGTTCCCCTTTGTAAAGTAAAGTTAAAAAAATTTTAATGAATAACTAAAAATGCAAATTTCTATAAAATTTTTATTTAATAATTAAGTTTGAGGTATGCCGTGGTTGGAATTTCTCCAGATAAAAATTAAGCCAGCTACCTCGTCAACCTTAAAGCAGTTTGGTTCAATATTGCTGCCGTATTGTTTCATAAAAAGGTTAACTTAAAATACGTACCCATAAACAAGCAAGATAAAGCCATATGCAAACTGAGTTAGATTAAAAATCATTAAGACTATGAAAATCTCAATATTTCTTTATGATATTTTCAAGTAAAAGCCGAATTTCATAAACACTTTACATTTAGGAACAAAGTGAGCTTCCCGTGGAAATACCCATAAGCATTCAAATTAGGCTTGGGCAGCCTTTGAACTAGAGAGCGATAGAGTCAGCTCTTTTAATTGAACTAGTTCATTTCTTCGTTCATTAAAGTGAACTAAACTTTTCTGTGGCAACATTCCAATAAATATGGAAATGTAATTTTACAACACATATGGGAACACGTTTTTCGTTGTAAGGGCATAAAGAAACAGCTGATGGGAATTCACGTTAAAAAGACATAATGGGCTCGTTCAGAAGGTGCAACAGCTAAGCAACAGTTGCGATTGCACCTTCTAAACGCGTTGATCAACTGAACAGTTACGTGTTAAATGATCGTAATATTTTTCTGATCATTTGAGGCAACATGTTGATGTGTACCTTTGAGAGTTGAATTTGACAGCTAGTGTACCATGCCATGCAGAAGACGCATAACGATCACCGATTTTTTTTATCAACGATTGCTTTCAATTACTGCGCCTTCTGAATCTACCTAATATTTCATTTAATTTGCAATGCTAACACATTCAAACGATTCACTACGATTCAGTAAGTGAGACCTTAGCTTTGTTTTTTAACAGATAATTATCATAAATTATCATTAATTTCCGCTGGAAAGCGTTTCTTCACCCATAAAACTAGCAGAAACTAGCAACTCCCTCTCGTTCTTACGCTTTTATTTTTTTTAGCTCTCCTGCTAATTTCTGCTAGTAAAATTTAGTCAAATACACCGATCAACTGTTTACTTGCTAGTTTCTTATAGTTATAGCGCTCATTTGCTTCTGCTTTATTTCGCTCTCTGTGAGCGTAATTCATTAAATTTTCCCATCTACTTCTTCCTGATAATTATCGGCCGTGATAAAAACATTAGATGGTAAAATCATTCTCTCAATTCGTCGGTCATGATTTTTTTCTGGCGTTTGCAAACATTTTAAAATCATACATATAAAATTGAAAATAAAAATATGAAATTGTTCTCAACTGTTGTTTTTTTGAGATTAAAAATGAGAATGTGTGTGTGAGCTTGAGTTGGAATTTTAAAATTATATTGCTGCCAAACGTCAGACTGCCTCTCAATGATTTTACCCATGGTACAATAATTATTACCTTGTAATATTTTTATTATGATTATCTGCTAGAAAACAAATGAAGCAAAACCCGTGTGCATTAAATACACTGCTTAGCTCCCGCTCTTCGTATATGTGAACCCACATATGCTTAGAGAGCGCTCGTTTAGAGCAATTTGTATTAAAAAGTAGGTAATTGAGTTGAGCTTTTAGGATTTGTTGTTTAACAAATGGCTTTCTCTTTCAGATGCCAAAGCGAAGAGCAATTTACTCGCATTCAGAGGGCAAAATTGAAGAAAAGAAAATTTAATGCAGGCACTGTCGAATTTCCATAAACATCCTTTCGTGATTTTGGAGAAAGATGACTGAATTGTGTGTTTATTGCAATCTTTTATATGTAAGAATATGTTATAAAACATTTATTTTTGTTGCTCTGTAACTCAGCTCTTACTACCGAACTAGTTCAATTAGGCGAAATATAGTTCAATAAGGCGAAAGAACTAAAGCTTAGATATGCATATGTACATATGTATGTGTGTATGTATGTATATGTACGTAAGCCCCGTAGGAAATATGAACTCGTAATCTTGCAGCAACTTACACTTCACTTCACAACTTTAGTAAATTTGTGGTTTGTTTACAGATTTTTTATTAAAAAGCGAAGAGCGAATTACATTAATTCAACTCAGGGAATCGGATTTTTATAAAATATCTGTAATTTCTATTTCTAACTACTTATGTACATACATATTATTCAGTGTTGAAAACAAAAGAAGATTTAGAGCTGATTGGTTCACCAATTTTTCATGGGTTTCCAAAGATGGCTCCTTTTGTGAGGCATGGAATAAAGCAGCAGTTAACTACAAAACTGCATACTCAGAAAAGTAATAAAAAAATGTGATTAATAAATCGAGTTTTGAACAGAGCTTAGAAATTATATTTTTATGTTTTTTTGTTATAATACAAACTAAATTTTTATAAAAGAATAGCGGGAAAATTAAAATAAAAAATTTGGCCTATCGACATTGTGAAAAGTTCTCACTGCCAATACATATTGTTTGCCATTAAGCTTTAAGTTTCAAATAATTTTTGTGAGACATTATTCTAGTGAAGTTAATTAAAAAAAATTTTTTTTTGGTACTCTCAGAAGCGTTTTGGTACGTTTTTTGTTAGGCATTAATCATGATGACAGTTTTCGTACTAAAAGCTGAAATAAGACATGGATTATCTCGTAAGGTGCTTACCTATATTCCAAGTAGAACACTTATACATGTATACATACATGCATGTTAGAGAACATCAGCGTTTTTATAAAATACCGACCAGAAAAAAGACGTTTTCCTTTTTTATCACAAATAACAAAATTCTGATATAGCGTTTATGAATTTCCAACGAGTGTATTTATGAACCACTCTAATGTACATATGTATATGTATACAAACCTGCTTATATAATTATATGTATGTATATTTGCAATTTTTTACATACATACATATTTCATTTAATTTTGTGAAAACAATGCCGTTGGCGTATTTTGTGAATCTTTATTGCGTTTTGTTTTTTTAATAGATGATACGAAAAAAAAAACAACAAAAAATCAGTCTAATATTCTCTGCTTCTTTTTAATCAATGTCAGTTAATTTAAATTTTAAGGGTATATTTGGTATATTGATTAGCATACCCTTGAATGGCTTGTCGGTGGGATAATTAAATTCTATTTTGAAATTCCTAACTAATCTTGCCATTGCCAGCCCTACTTCCAAGTCTATTATTCTACGTCCTAGGCAAATGCGCGGTCCAAAACCGAATGGTAGATAAACAAACGGGTTGCTTGGCTTCAATGATCGCACACCCTCCTCGCTGATAGTTTCGTCCGTTCGCAACCAACGTTCCGGTAAATATTCCAAGGGGCGCAGAATAAAACGTTCATCCGATTGTAGAGTTGATGAAATCATGCTCACCCAAGTGCCTTTAGGTACACGATAGCCGCTTAAAATGAGATCGTTTTGCGGTACACGCATATTCCCGACAGATACTGGGTAAATGCGCAGTGATTCTTTAATGCATGCACGCAGATACGGAATATTGTCCAATACATTTGGTGTGAAATTGCCACGCTTTTCTGGCAGTACACTCCTTACCTCTGAGCGCAAGCGCTCTTGCTTTTCCGGGTGCTGAGCTAAACAGAGCAGAGCGCCGGCAACCAATGTGGCTGTCTAATAGAAAGATTAATTAACTACAATTTAAATGGATATTATACATACATACATACCGTATCTATGTATATAAACACATATATGTATGTACATATGTTTGTACATAAGTAGTATTCGAAAATATTTTTTACCGTATCAACGCCTGCCATCAGCATATCCATAGACATTACAGCAGCTACTTTAGCGTCTCTCTTTATTATCCTTTCCAAAATGCTTGTCTCCTCTTCTGGCCGTTGGACGCCTTCACGCTTTTCTGCTTCCAATCTATTAATGGCTTCTGTTACATGCTTCCACGTCACACTTCTAATATCATCCATAGCTCGCATAAGACGCCTTAATTTAGGTGTGGCTACCAGTCGCCACATTGCAGGCTTGTAATCCAGTTGGAAGCTGAGATCCACGAATTCATTTAAAGCATTGAATAGCCTCTGAGCATCGTCGGAGTTTTCGCTATCTTCTCGCAGCAATCCAAGTTGCAAATCCAATGCTACCACGGCAACAGATTCTAGCGCCCAAAGCTGTATATGCACTGCAAAGTCGTCAGGCATCTCCAAGGTTTCGGAATTGCGCATCAAGCGAATTCTTAGAATAGTAGCAAAATAATTTTAAGTACTAATTTAAAATGGACATGTATGATCGATTTTACCTATCTACAAATTCTTGATTCACTTGCGCCATTTTGTTTAGATACATATTAATAGACTTTGATTGCAAAAGTATCGGATTCACGACCGTGCGAAATGAGTTCCATTGCTCGCCTTGCCTGCAAGTATCGAATATTCGCATGCATTTTATCAACAATAGAGCGCTACGCATAAAT